TAACACGCGCTTTCGGTCGTGTAACGTTAGTATGAACGGACATCTGCATATGATCGGAGCTCCACGCAGCTCCCGCGCTACTCTCCATTGGAAATGAATGACTGAATGACCGGTCTGTCGCTTGGCGTTTGTCGGAGATAGTGGAAAGCCGGCTTGAAACACAGTGGAAACGCCAGTATGACGAGGATCGTTTTCATTTTAAAACATAAACTCACCAGTGTAAATGTAGCCTTACATCAAAGGGGGCTGGGACGCATTCACACTACAGCCTCACGTGTGCGCCACATCTCTGAGTGTAACCGGTGTAAACTAGTAGCTGTGTTGACTTGACGCGGACCGACTGTGCAGACCGATCGGTGTATTACAGTACCACGAGAGCTAAAGACTGCTCACTGCTCCGTGCGCTTTCGAATCGCTCTCGCCGATGATCGATCTGTGCCGCACCTCTTCTCACACCGGCTAAACTAATATAAATTTCAAATATTAAAGTGTTAAAGACAAGTAAACAGTCAGTAATAAAATTGGAACAATCAAATCTAGTGTTGTCACGGTACCAAAATTTCAGTATTCGGTACCGATACCAGTGAAAATCCACAGTTCTCGGTACCAATTCCGGTACCAAAGCAAAACACAAAAACATGCTAATTAAAAAATGTGACTATACTTTCATTTAATCCAAACTGTGTACATATTTAATTTTAAAGGGCTTTTAAAACCTTCTAAAGTTATTCAGCCAAGAATAACAACTAAGTTGGCAAAAAAAAAAGCCCAGAACTGCTTTTCTGACTGACATGACACAAACAATGTTAACCATTTGTACATTCTCTAACATTAGAGTTAGCCGCGCTTATGCTAAAGATTAACTACTCTAATAACAGCGATGTTCATTTCAATCCGACATTCAAATTAAAATATTGAATAGTATTCATAACAGAAGCGGTGTTTCCCACAGACTTGCACGGTATTTGTAGTGGCATATATATGCAAATTCATTCTCTGCCAGCAGGAGGCGCTTGTAGAGCGGGAGAGATAGAGGTTTCCCCGGTAACGGCTGTAATCAAATAAGTGCTGAGCTCACAAACGTTGCTCAGGCATTACAGGCAAGATGAAATGAAAATGACATCCATAATTTTTTGAAGACAGTCGGTTTCCTTCAGAAATACAGTGATATAAAAACACCTGCACCGGGTTTCGACTTTGACACATGCAGTGCTCATGTTTATTCAACGAAGTCAAAGCCTTTTGGAAAATCTATTTGTGGCGGGCGCCACAAATAAATCAATGTATGGGAAACACTGAGAAGATCTAAATATTAAAATTAAACTTACCGGCTTGAACTCTTTCATTTGATCCGGGTGTCTGTCTTTAAAGTGTTTTGTTAGTTTGATGTGTTTCCTCATTTTGAGGTAGCCACGTCTCAGTGCTTTTATGAAGAGAGCGCATCTGCGCACCTTTCGGATAGCGCATCAAGAACCGGGTTGACCGGGTACTCTGTACCAGCGGTACTTAAAAAAAACCTGGTACCGTAACGTTTTTTTTAGTACCAACTTGGTACCGAAGTACCGGGTCTTTTGACAACACTAGTTTCTGAGTAACAGCTGTGTTCAGTCTGCTGTGAATAATAGCTTGAACAACAGTTGTGCACAGTGGTAATTCCGCCAGACCTTAGCAGCTGGTGTCTGATTCAGAGTTAAAAGTTCAGGGTTACACAAAGAGGTTCAAATGGCGAGACCCCTGCCTTTCATTCAGAAAGTGTGCATGTGAGATTTGTGGTATAGCCCTGCTGTCAAGCTCTATTCAGGAGCACTCGCTCTTGAGACCATAGATACATGATTTCTCCCAAGGACAAGCACACTGAGCAACAAACTCTGTGGCCTTGCTAAACTTAGAAACCACCCCTGAATGCAAGTGCAGTAGTATGCTGCCTGACTATATCTGATAATAAAGCTGTGTGTGTGTGTGTGTGTGTGTGTGGATTTTCTCTTGTAGTTCATCATACTGGTAGTGGACAGTACTGACAGAGAGAGACTAGCCATTTCTAAAGAAGAGATCTACAGGATGCTAGCACATGAGGTAATGCTTTAACATTTACAGCACACGGAGCATGAATATAAATCCCATCTCAAAAAAAGCAAAATTTTGGGTCTGTTTTTCAGTTGTTTTCTATTTTCATTCTTTCAGGATCTGCGCAAAGCTGCAGTGTTGATCTTTGCTAATAAGCAGGACATGAAGGGCTGTATGTCTGCAGCAGAGATTTCCAAATACCTGACCCTCAGCTCCATGAAGGATCATCCCTGGCACATCCAGTCCTGCTGTGCGCTCACTGGAGAAGGGTAAGACCTGCAGTATAGACACAGGGATTACCTGTCCTAGCTTGTAAGGTGTAATAGATTGATGATGGCAAAATGTACAATCAACCCAATAATACAATCATCCCAGGCTCAGTGGAAAAATGTGCCCCTACCTACATTTTTACAAAATTCTCTATGTACCTGTATGTAAAAATGTGCCTATACACATAGTTCATTGAATGTTCCAGCTGAAATGAACACTAGTAACAGTAAAACATCAACAACTTTATTCATTTTCACAATAAATTATGATTACGGGACAGATTATCGATTAATAAATACTTATTTTCACGTGGTTCCATGCACAATGCCATGTTATGACCTCAAAAGACTTTTACCATAGTGCATTATTTGTAAACTAATATATTTTGATGTTTGCATCTAGGGGTGTGCCATATCATACGTCCACGATAATACCGGTATAAATTTTTACATGATAAAAAAGTGTCATATCGCGATATCAATGATATAGCGACGTGAGGACGTATGGCAGATATACGTTCCCTAGCGCGCACAACAACACCACAAACCCAATAGGTGTGTTCGACTTGAAGCAGCGCTGCGCAGACTGATCGGTGTATGACTTCAAAGTATCGCGAGAGCAGTTCTAGTGCATATTCGAACGCACACTCTTACCTTCAAAAATAGGCGAGGCGCATATCTTTAACGAAGCGGCGTGGAGAGCCGCTTCTGAAACGTGCCGCGGCTCCACTGGTGTAAACCCAAGCATTGACTAGAGTGGCCGTGTCAGAGCCGTAACGCGCCGCAGACACGTGCAGTGTAAATAAGGGGTAAGTCACTCGCGGTATTTTGACGTCATACACCGATCGGTATGCTTCAAGTCAAACACACAGCTGCTGCTGCCACCTTATGACAATAGATTTACACTTCAAATTAGGTAGTCTGTCATCGATGACAGTAGCTCATTGGAAAAGGATGGAAAATGCCCTTCATTTTGTTTGCACTAATAAATGCTGCTGCCTGCCAGCTGCAATCACCAATAAAATCAATCGTCATAAATACCGTTACCGCAAATATTCTTGAAATATCATGATATAATTTTGACCCCCCCACCCCTACACATAATCAACACCAGATGCATGAGGTTTTTCTGAGTAAAGTAAACTTGCTTCGTAGCTCACCTATTACAGCACTGCACTTCCAATGCTCGGCTACAAGTCATGTAAATCATAAGTCAGAATGAAAGAGCTCAAAAACTTTGTAGCAAGCTAAAATGGCATGGTTGTTTTAGCAAATATGTTTTTATCTCATGTTTGGTTTTGCTGACACTATTGGTCAGGTTTAGTGTAGGTGGTATGTTATTTTCAAACACAATAGGGTATTTATCTTTTATTGCCACTCACATTTCGGACATTTAATTTCCGAGCTTCCGCGATACGTATAATAACCAACATAATAAAAGTTGCCAGATTTACATTCATCTGTTTTGGATAAAGCTAATGCTTTTAGCGCTACTCACTGGATGAAAACAAGCAAGAAGCAAAGTTATATTATTTTGAAGAATTGTCACCACAGGCACGTTGCCTGGGATAAATGCAATAATCCAAAAAAGGTCAAACGGTTAAAATTAAAATTGTTTTACCTGTAAAAATAAATAGATAAATAAATAAATAGTACTTCTGAAAAATCTCAGTAGCCTTGTTTGTTCTGCTTGGAATGTGCTTAAAACATTAATGATTTAATAACCTTGTTAAATGTAATCTATAGAAAAACTCAATATGAATATCCATTTATCATACTTTGTACATTATAATACCATGATGCTTTGAGTTGTAGCTTTTAAAACTCTTAGTTTAGCTGTTAAATGTTTTATTTTTAAATTTCATAGGCACTGGTGTAGAATTGTAATATTGACCATGATGTGTAAATAGTTTATCACATATGTAAACATTTTATCATACTGGCTAGAATTGTACTATTGGTGCATCCCTACTGAACGTGTGTGTGTGTGTGTGTGTGTGTTTCAGGCTGTGTCAAGGTTTAGAGTGGATGACCTCAAGAGCCGGGCTCAGATAGCCTCTGAGTCTTCTTGTTGGACTGATTGACAGCGATTTCCACCTCCTCTGGTGGCACTGCAGGCTCATCCCATTGGCTGCTCATGTTTTATTTTTAATCTCGCTCTGCAGCTGAACTCTCTGGACACCTACCTCAGCTGGGATTTATCAGTTACATGAATCTGGTTTGACAGTCTTGTCGATCAATATTAAATCAGGAGCGTCTGGATTTTTGTACTGGGTGTATATCGGAAGATCTTCAAATTCGAAAGTATTTCAACTTAAAGAGAGGCACTACATTGCTGGTGTGTGTTTGTGAGGAGGGACTGTGTTTTTAACACTCTGACAGTGGAACAGAAGTTCTCCAAATAAGTATATTAAGCTAATCGTGTGTTTCTTTAAATCTACTGGGAAGAAATGATTTGAATGGTCTAAATGTTACTTTTTCACATGGGGAATCTTTGGGTAAATTGTTGTTATTGTTTGGTTGTTTTTGGTTATGCTTTTGGGGTATCAAATGTTTAAAGTGCCATTGGTACCCAGCAACACCACCACATATCATGAAAACACCTGAGCATATCACTTAGTACACATTACCTCAATCATTAGTTACAGTAGAGGGTGCTGTTACCATTTCAGACTGGCCATTACAGCTTGAAATGTCATTGATGTGAGATGCAATTTAAAGAAGGGGGGGGGGGGGGGGG